ATTGATTTATTAAAATTAATATTCCGAATTAATACGTAGCATGGTTTCTCTTTCATAAAAGAGCATCAATCCATAACGCTACAGTTGTATCAGCTTCGCAGGTGCAAAAAGATTTTGACGACGTGTCAAAAGCTTTGATGGTTAAAGAGGTTTTGCTTCAGATGGCCGGTCTGAAGCTTTTCTCTAGAACTGAGAGATCACCTGAGAGTAACCTGGTTTTAATGTTCTCATGTTATGATTTGAGTAGCCAACCAGAGGCTGACAAGTTTGAGGAATATTACAAAGAGTCTCAGAAACACGCCTTCTTTGATACCAGAGGCTCTGATCTGGGGTAAAGGCTATCTATGTGTCACACGTTTAACTTAACCGTACTTTGTTCTTGTGTGAGTGCAAATGGTTATGACCTCGTCATATCAACATGATGAAACACATTTCAATCACTGTAATCATAACATAACATTCATTTCAAACTTCAATCATTGAAGCACAGATTAATGAAAGCATTTCATTATATTATAATTATTATAAGTAGCAATAAACAAACGTTTATTTAAAGATTATTTAACTTATACGTTTTAAAAGTTCTTATTTAATTTAAGAAATCATTCTTTGATTTTGCAACTAATCCGAGCTGTGAGTGTTCCTTATTTAAAGGCATGAAGAACCCTGTAGGACGATAAGGGAAGCTTGAACCTTGAGGAGGGAACATTATTGTTGGCAATTCGTTATCTGTGTTCAGAGCTGCAGAGAGGCTCTGAGCTCCAGCTGATGGGATGAAGGCAGGCCGATTTAAAGGGAACACATGCAGTCTCGTGTCTCCATTTTGACGAGATGTTGAATGATCAAACAGTACCTAAAAACTGACCATTGCTGGACGTTACAGAGTAACTGCCATGAACATCCGTCCTTACTCTTCAGGCCAAATGACCTTGTCGAACATGGTGTTCCTAAACTTCACAGTGGGAGACATGTCCGTGAGCCATCCAGTGTTTGTAGCTGACGTCGAAGCTTTTCCTTTCCTGTTGGGGGAGCACCTGCTCCGACGCTTTAAGGCTGTCATTTCATTCGGTGATTGGACACTCCGAACTCGGCTGACTCAACCGACGCCCATGGCGCCTCTTGAGGACCTCATTCCCTTTTAGGTGTTGTTAATTACAACGGCGCCGCCAGTCTGACCAGTCGATCCAGTACCTCTGAGGCCAGTGAGATCCACAGTGTCTGTGTCATCTCTGCAGCAGGACCACTTCACCCTGTGGTGGGGAAACCACCTACCCTAGGGGGAGATGGTGGTTGCAGTGACACACCACCTGAGACTGCACCCTGCGGTGGGAACACCAACTGCCGGGGGTGGGGGGGTGTTGATGTTGGCGCTTAGACTCCGGCTGAAGCCCTGCACCTTGCGGTGGGGACTCCACCTGCTGAAGGACGGGCTGATGACATCACTGACCCTACTGCACTACAGCTGGCGCTGGTGACCTCTAGCCCTGAGGTTGAAGACTCACCTACCAAAGGGTAGGTTGAATGGTGCCCTGTACCACTACTGGCTGACCCTGATCTCTCTGACTGCACCTGCGCGTCGACCGAGGGCCCTCCAGAGCGCTCACCTGCGCCGAACCCTTGCAAGGCCGCGCCAGTCTACAGTCTAAAACGTTCTTGGTTTCCATTTCCAGGTCTGACAAAATATGTTTTGTTAGTTGCGTGCATCGGTCTGATGTCGACCGCGGCTGAGATTCATTCTCAGCCTCCTCTTATGCCTCTGTACGAACCTGGGCCCTCTTCGGGTATCACGCTCCGAGACCGCCCAGGTCTGTTAATGACTAACTATCGTCTGTTCACACAAAAGAGTTTTGTTAAATTCGACCCCGCTATGGCGTGTACTGATAAAATGACAAATACCTTCGGCAACCTTTCGGAAACTGGATCCCCCTGGACTAGTACCCTGATGCAGCACTCCGAAGCTGACGTCCATCACATACTAGTCCAGGCGCTTAAATTCACGGTTTCGAACAGTGATCTTTCCAGTACCAGCATTAGACCAAAGTGTTTCCTAGAAGGATTTTTCTCAGTAGCTAATACAATTGGCTCTCTTTTAAATTTCGGATTCTCCTCAGTCAACTGGATCGAGATTAACACAGTTCATCGACACGTTGATGAGCTTAACAGAGAATACCTGGCTCTGCGTAAGCAGGTACTGCAGCAATGGCGGGCTTTGAGACAGCTGGGCATGTCTGAACAACAGACTTTGGTGGTACTCAACACTCATAGTGACCTTTTGCATAAAACATCTTCTGCTGTGAATGAATTACGTTCTTTTGGGAATGTTGATTTTGCTGATACACAGATGCTGACCACTTGCCTATCTGACTATGGTCGGGACGTGAGTGCCTCGATTGACACCCTCCTCATGGGGAGAATTCCTCTGTACCTCGTGTCTCTGGCCATGGTCCGGTCTGCAATAGCTCGAGTGACATTGAAGGACCCGATGGCCCTTCAGACTCACTTGGCTTTCTCGCTGGGCAGTGCTATCCTGTTAAGTGTCAATACAGATGCTAGAGAGCTAGCTTTCATCATCAACTTACCTACTGATCTCCAGATGACATCTTTAGACTAAAAAATGTGGTAAATGTAGGTAACTGGGTTGATGACACTCATGTCAAGTTACATACGCCTCCTGTCATCGCGTTCCATGAGGACACGCCACATGTCCGTTTGGTTTCCTTATCTGCACGTATGTTCACTCACACGTGGCCTACACTTCTTGTGTCCAGGCACACTTTTTCTGCGTGGCGGTGCCACTGGTGTGTGTGGCATGGATGAGTTGTCGGGTGATTCTAAATGTCCTGTGACTGTGACTCCACGTTCGCATGTTGTTCAAATGGGATGAAGGCAGGCTGATTTAAAGGGAACACATGCAGTCTCTTGTCTCCATTTTGACCAGATGTTGAATGGTCAAACTGTACCTAAAAACTGACCATTGCTGGACGTTACAATGCAAAACCCCTCCAGCATCTATTGGAAGCTATTGAAGGTTCCTGCCTGTGTGCCGAGTGTGAGATCATCTTCCACTGGAAGTTTTTTTTTATTCGTGACTCACATTATAGCTTGATTTTCAGCCAAAAAAGCAGGACCTTAACCCCCAAAAAAATCCTCCAAACAGTGACTCAGCAAGTTTATTTCTCTGCACGATTGAAAAAGAAACAGCAAACGTGAAAGGCAGGTTGATATGTAATTCTCTGTAAGCTGTTAGGGGGTACATAATGGAGGAGCACTCTAATGGGTTTCACAATGACATAAAAAATGACAAGAATTTTTTTTATCTAAAACAAATAAAAAAAAATTAAAATATAATACATTCATCTGCTCAGGTGAAGGAAAACTGTACAATTTCTGTTCATTTATAAGAAAAATGGACAACATAATAAGAACAGATCTTTTAAATAAATTCAGAGTGTCCACATCGATGCTAGCTTTGGCACTTTTCCTCTTCCACTAGTGTAGTGTCTGTATTTTTGAGCAGGAAATTGGGATCCAGAACACATGGTCTGGTAAATGCTGCACTCTTTTGATGAAAAGTCTGCTCAACCTTTCCTAGCTGTAACGCCCTGATAAATGGGTGTTTGTGTATCTACATGTTAATATGTCAGGAGTTTTTAGGATTTGTTTGTGAAGCAAATAGAGGTTGAACGATGGTTAAAGTGTAAGAAAGTTGCAATTAGACTGCCAAACACAACCTGACTATCAATACAATATATTGCAAATTCGTCAAATGAAAAAATTTTGTCAGATTTTTCTAATTTTTGTTGTGATTAGTAGTCACCAGTCATTACCAATTCTTACTAATAACTACAAATAGTCACCAATAGTTACCAATGGTTACCAAGAATTACCATTAATCACCAGTAGTTACCAATGGTTACCAATAACCACCAAGAGTCACCAATAGTTACCAATGTTACCAAGAATTACCAGTAATCACCAGTAGTTACCAATGGTTACTAATAACTACCAATAGTCACCAGTAGTTATCAATGGTTACCAATAATTACCAATAATCACCAGTAGTTACCAATGATTACAAATGAATATCAGTAGTCACCAATAGTTACAAATGGTTACCAATAATGACCAATAATCACCAATAGTTACCGGTGATTATTAATAAATATCAATAGTCACCGATAGTTACCAACGGTTACTAATAACTACCAATAATTAGCAATGGTTACCAAATATTACCAATAGTTACCAATAATCACCAGTAGTTACCAATGAATGCTAATAACTACCAATAGTTACCAGTATTTACCAATGATTACCAATAGTCACCAATTGTCATACATAGTTACTACTGGTTACTAATAACTACCAATAGTCACCAATAGTTACCAGTGTTTACCGATGATTACATTAGTAAGAATTAATTCCACAGTGAGTAAAACATTAAAGCCATACAATCTGTCATCATTTATCAAGATACGCGTTTAACAATTAGATATTTTTTGTTCTTTAGTAATGTTTTTATTAAAATTTTCAATTTTTAAATGACAAATTGTTCACAAATATTCTTTGCTTTTCTGACAGAGTTTTTCCTCATTCCAAATAGATAGGTGAATTCAAAAATGCACATTCTGACTCGCAGAACCTAAATTGAGAAGGATTCGAGATGAGTTGGAGACAACTTCCCACAAAAGCTAATAATTTTTTGCGAACATTTTTATGTAAATAATTTGAACTATAGTTCAAAAACACCAGTGCCACAAGAGCGAGGCCTTGACACTAATAAAAGAACACAGAGAACCCTCACAAATGTTTCAAGATGTTTTTGAAACACTCCCGAGTGAGTTCTGTTTCTGTGTGGATACTGAAATCACCCATAACATTATCTTTAGGACTTGCTGTTTTTACTTGAAAACTAAGGGGCTACATTTACGGATTTGTTGGGTTGTCTGATATTATCGAATGATATTGGCATTAGAATGTAATAATGGAAATGATCCATATTGGTTTTCTACTCTTTTAATGACAATTTTTACATACCGTTACACACACTCTCACTCAGATTTATGACATATGACAGAAATGGAAGCATTTGTCCTATTTTGCAGAGATAATGTTTGACGTTTAAGTATGTGGGATGCTAGGTACCAGGAATGATTCAGTTTTCTAGTTTTTATTATTGTGGGGAGTTTATTAGTATTGGATAATATTAGAATCTAAAATTAAGAGTTGTGCCTAATTTATATTTCTCCGTCTGCGTAGGTACGAAGACACGTGACGCCATTATGTGTCGGCGCAAGAGCTCTTCCACAGGCCCGCGGAGGCTGATGGAGACATGCCCAACATTCCGCCAAAAGTGCTGGAGACCTCAAGCTTGTGACTGGTCAGGATGTCACTTCCTGTAACTTCGTCAACAGGATCGCCATTGCCCCCTCAAAAATTCAAAAGAGAGCCGGCAGACAAGCAGCAGGCGGAAGAACGTCTGAACATGTATTCATCCCTGAATGAACGAGTACAAAGATACGCAGCAAGCATTTTATTCGTGGACAGAAAATGACGAGAAACGTGGGTTTAGAGGTGGTGACTGTGTAAAGAGGTGGAGGAGAATGAGGGAGAAATTAGTCCGTGTTAAAGTCTCTGAAATGCATAAGCAAAATTTAAATAAACAATAGTAAGTACACTATAGGTTGACTGGATACATGACTAATGGCGGCAGGATACCCCAGAAAAATGCTACACCTCCTGTTGTCCTGGTGGGGAATTGCTTTGGAACACTCCCCAGCCAGGTGACGGAGAAGTTGGAAGGGAAAGTGTCTTCGTCAATGTGAGTGAACGACTTCGACCCTGAGCCGGCGGAGAAGTATAAATCAGCCTTTAGACTATAATGGATGCCCAACATTCCTAGTAATTATGCGTACATCTACATCTGCACCAGCTGGATGAATCTAGATGCTTTTCAGTCAGAAGTATCTAATTTTAGAATAAAATCATGCATGAACAGGAGATTCAACTTGGTATTAAGAGAAAACAAATATCCCCCTAGTGGCTGGATGTTTGTAAATGTTGTAAGTCTCACCACCTTCCTGTAAATGAGAACATTTCCTGTTTTCTTTTTGCAAATATTCACCCTTGTTGATTTCATATAGTTCTTACATTGGTGATGTGTCCAAACAGTTTATTTTTTCTGATATTTTTACTACTAATAGGTTATTTGATGCCTAAAAAACATCAACATAATACAACAAAATTAAACATCATGGCTGTGAGTAGGCAGCACTTACAGCCCAACATCCTGACTGCTCCAGTTTTGGGTCCAAACTGCAACATATTGTAACCAGAATACCACTTTTCATCCACAGGAGTAGATGACAATGGGTCTTTCAGCTTTTTTACACACCAGTGCATATATATGTATATACACTGATGTGTGTGTGTGTGTGTGTATATATATATATATATATATATATATATATATATATATATATATATATATATATATATACACTGATGTATAGTAGTGCAATCATGGTGTTTCATATGAAACACCATGATTGCACTACTGTTGTCAGACTTAAAAGGCCTGACTCTATTTAAAACAGATTTTACTGCATTTTCACCGTAGTCCATGTAACAAAGAACAAAATGTGTCTTAATAAAGTGTTGGCTGTGTGTGTGTGTGTGTGTGTGCGTGTGTGTGTGTGTGTGTGTGCGCGCACAACATATATACATTATTTGTCCTGACTCATATCCAGATCCTTTCAGTTTATTTATTGTTGTCCTTCATTTGCTGACACTGAAATAAAATGTGTGTAAAAGTTGTTTTTAACTCTTAATCGTTATAAAAAAAAATGGGTCCTTCATTTCGTTTTACCCATTTATTCCAATCTCTGTTTTCAGAAGGTCCATTCATCTGAAAACACGGGAAGACACTGGTGTTTGTTTTTAAACTTTCTTTTAAATGCCAGTTGATGTTGACAGTTGTTTGGGTAATTTCTCATTTTTGGCTGCAAAAACGTGCACGTGCACCATTTCCCCTTCCTCTTCTTCTTCCCACCGTCATCATACCACCGTCTCCGACCCCGACCCTTTCCCTGTGAAGAAGTCCCAGAAGTTTGAGGCTTTGCCCTCCTCCTGCGGCGTCTGTCTCACCCAGATGCTGCCGCCCTCGGAGGAGCCGCTCAGACTGGAGCAGCTTCCAGCACCACCTAAAGAGAAGCTCAGGGCAGAGCTCAGAGTGCTTTGGCGGTCCTGGGGGTCAGCCTCCTGACCGTGGAGTCTAGAGGAGGAAGAGGACGAAGAGGGCTGGGCGAGGCTGAGCAGGTTGTGGTGTGAGTGGAACTGGCGCATGTGATGGATGGATTTCCTAGGATGGCCCTCACCTGGAAAATAAACAATAACACAATTAAAAACTTTTTTTTCCCCAGATGATCCATGAAACATGTCTGTTTTTGCCTCTTTAAAGCCAGGTGGTGCTGTTGCCTAATTTTTCCATCCCAACAAGATGGGGGTTTTACAGGAAAATATCTATTTGCTTCTTTCATACAATAATACTTTTTGGGTCAAAATTGAGAAAGTTTAGTGTGGGGGAAAAAAATATATAGATATATATGTGTATATATATGTATAGTGTGCATATATACATATGCATCTTAGGTGTGTTCTTGCTGTGTCTTTGTAAATCCATGCTTTCGTTCTTTTTTAAACACAGAAACAGTTTTGTTTACCTGTTTGTAGCTACGGTTTCGCCGACAGCTGCCGGCGTCAGCCTGAAGAAGCCGGCAGCTGTCGGCGAAACCGTAGCTACAAACAGGTAAACAAAACTGTTTCTATGTTTAAAAAAGAACGAAAGCATGGATACATATGCATCCATATATATATATATATATATATATATATATATATATATATATATATATATATATATATATATATATATATGTATGTATGTATACAGTATATATATATATATATATATATATATATATATATATATGTATACAGTATATATATATATATATATATATATGTATACAGTATATATATATATATATATATATATATATATATATATATATATATATATATATATATATATATATATATACATATATATATATATATATATATATATACTGTATATATCATCTCTGTGTTCTGTTTTACACCTTTTCCTTCAAAGAACTCTCAGTGGTTTGTAAAACTTCCCAAAACCAAAATGACGAAAAGTGAGTACCGTATCTTGCTTCCTGTCGTTTTCTGTTCTGGTTCAGTTTGAGGACGTTGAGGAAGACCTCACTGGTTAAGCTGCCTTCCCTGCCTCTGCCATCTGGAGGGAAGAGAGGCGAAGGGGGCCCTAGCGGGGACAGACTTCCGCTTGAGGCTCCCACAGAGTCCAGGGATGCCCCCGTGTCCCGACGACCCCCTGACTCCCTGCTGCTCTCCACGGTCAGATGACTACCGCTGTGAGGAAACACACACAGGCTGAGCTTCATCAGTCGCACAGGTTTAACATCACATCTGTGGGTTTTACCTCAGCTTCCTCCTCAGCAGATAGTCGATGATATCTGGATCCGTCTGGATCAGACTCATCAGGACCTCCTGCTGCAGCTCTGCTGATACCTGCAGCAGCACACATTTAACTTATTAAACTCATCAAGTGGCATAAACCTGAGCGTGGTCCCACACGTACCGTAAACAGCCTCTTGTAGTTCTGGATCAGCACCAGAGTGACGCTGATGATGGCCGTGCTGTCCTCAATACCCATCGCTTGAGGACTGATGTCTCCTCCTCGCTCCTTCTGGAGCAGATTTGGCCCAAATATCACAGCCAGGTTGGCGGCCGTCATTTTGTTACCAGGTATCTGAATGGAGAGGGGTGTCAGGAATGGCAACAAGAGAACAATGGGAGGCCTTTGCTAATAAACAGGTTAGCTGGTAAGAAGACATAAAGATCTAGGCTGATGGATGTGTCCCACATCCCTTCATTTGTGTTTCAGATATGAAAACTACTGCTGCTGTCAGAGGTCACAGGTAACAAGAAAAGGAAAATGTAATAATGTAGTATGTTATGATGTTTTTCATTACTGAGGTTTAAATATCATTCATACTTGCTGTTGTTCCAGTTTGGTCCAGATCAGTTGGTTTTTATTAAGATACGTTTTATTAACTACATCACTTTAGTTTAGTTTGTGTGTGCAGGATGTGAATGTACTCAGAACTGTTATTTACAGAGACAGAGTTTTCCATCCACCCACCCATTTATCTATCCATTTATCCATCCACCCATCTGTCCGTCCATCCACCCATCCATTTATCCATCCATCCATTTATCCATCCATCCATTTGTCCATCCATCCATCCATCCACCCATCCATTTATCCATCCATCCATTTATCCATCCACCCATCTGTCCGTCCATCCACCCATCCATTTATCCATCCATCCATTTGTCCATTCATTTATCCATCCATCCATTTGTCCATCCATCCATTTGTCCATTCATTTATCCATCCATCCATTTGTCCATCCATTCATTTATCCATCCATCCATTTGTCCATCCATCCATTTGTCCATCCATCCATTTGTCCATTCATTTATCCATCCATCCATTTATCCATCCATCCATTTATCCATCCATCCATTTATCCATCCATCCATTTGTCCATCCATCCATCCATCCATCCATCCATCCATCCAATCATCCATCCAATCATCCATCCAATCATCCATCCAATCATCCATCCAATCATCCATCCATCCATCCATCCATCCATCCATCCAATCATCCATCCATCCATCCATCCATCCATCCATCCATCCATCCATCCATCCATCCATCCAATCATCCATCCATTTATCCATCCAATCATCCATCCATCCATCCATCCATCCATCCAATCATCCATCCATTTATCCATCCAATCATCCATCCATTTATCCATCCAATCATCCATCCATCGATCCATCCAATCATCCATCCAATCATCCATCCAATCATCCATCCAATCATCCATCCATCCATCCATCCATTTGTCCATCCATTCATTTATCCATCCATCCATTTGTCCATCCATCCATCCATCCATCCATCCAATCATCCATCCAATCATCCATCCATCCATCCATCCATCCATCCAATCATCCATCCATCCATCCATCCATCCATCCATCCAATCATCCATCCATTTATCCATCCAATCATCCATCCATCCATCCATCCATCCATCCATCCATTTATCCATCCAATCATCCATCCATTTATCCATCCAATCATCCATCCATCGATCCATCCAATCATCCATCCAATCATCCATCCAATCATCCATCCATCCATCCATCCATCCATCCATCCATCCAATCATCCATCCATTTATCCATCCAATCATCCATCCATCCAATCATCCATCCATCCATCCATCCATCCAATCATCCATCCATTTATCCATCCATCCATCCATCCATCTATTCATATAGCCATCCTTACAACATCCATCCAACATTCAACAATGTTACATCCATCTTTCCTTCCATCCATTTTACAAATATTATGAGTTCAATTATGCAACATTCTTGAGGACTTTCTTTTAAACAAACCCTCAACATTTCTACAGTAACATTTAATGCAGATGTTTTTATTCAAGAGAGAAATTTACCACATGGTAGAAAATGTGTAGAAATGCTGAATTCAAATGTATTTTCCCTTGAACAACAGTACAGAGAATGTTCTAAACTGCACCGAGCTGGACTAGAGAAGCCCACCTCCTCGTCATTGGTCCCTATGCTGTCCTGGGCAAAGCTCTGCACGGTTTGTAACATGGAGAGGAGGCGCAGCAGCGTGTCACAGTTGCAGGGAGGAAGAAGGTAGAGGAGGTGCTGGAGGTACCGCAGCTGATCAGCTCCTCTCAGGACTACAGAGAAGAAGGAGATGGTTGGTTTGATGATGTTATCATAGAATTAGAGAAAAATTAAAAAAAGATTAATCATTTAAAATGTGCAACTCTGATCAGGTTTTGGATACTAATACCTGGATGCACTAGGTGTGTGTGTGTGTGTGTGTGTGTGTGTGTGTGTGCGCGCGCGTGCATACAGTTGGCATGTAAGAAGGCGGGGTAAAGCTCTCGGGGCAGCAGAGGATCGGGTATGTCCCTCAGGAACTCTTTGAGCAGCGCTGCCACGTCGTGCACGCTGTGCTCCTCATCCAGCTGGACGTCCACCCCTATGTCGAAGTCTTCCCGCAGCTGCAGAGCAAAACGATCAGCCAAGAAAACAGAAAGAGATTTATAGATAATAGCCAGAAGGTACATTCAAGGTCCGTCTGAGTTCAGACAGGGGGCACTTTCACCCGTTGAGTTGGATTTTAAATAACAGGATGTTTCACTTCATCAGCTGGAAGGTTATTTTTATGTTTCCATCATCCAGTGAAGAGTGGCAGGAAACTCAAGGGAGTGATTCAGAGGACACATGCTGGAAAAGTGTGCTGAGACCAAAGTCAGGGCAAGAATCACCATTTTTGCTTAGCAAATTAAAATTAAATTATCAATCAATAAGTTTAGGTGAAATTTAGGCTTTTTTTCTTCTGTATTTTAAGGAGACACAAAGACAGTTGAGAAATTACAATAAGTTTTAAATTCAAAACATTTACTTTGCCTCCACTTTAGCATACTGGGAGATTTTACTGACAGTTTAATTTTTTTAGTCTTAAATGTATTAAATTCTTCATCCTCACCTGTCGAACTCTTTTCTTAGAGCTCCCCACTCGAAATATCCCGACCGTCTGAAGCCCTAAAAACAAAATAGTTTATGTAATTAGTTCAAAATAAATCATTTTTGCTGTCTTGACTGTATTCATAAAGGAAGTCTTCCAGGTTTACTCATGAGGTCTCACCGTAGGTCTCGATGTGGCTGCAGCACCTCTCCACCACCCGAGGCACCTGTCTGTAGATGGGGTTCAGGCTCAGGCTGAGCTTGGTCTGGGTCCTCCCTTCTGATGGAGACTTCTTGAGCTCCAGCTCGGCTGGGTGGGAGAGCTGCAGCGCCTCCAGCAGGCGGGACTGACTCTCCACAAGATCAGAGATGCAGTCCACGGACATACCTCCCTGCAAAGAGCCAATACAGGAAGTGATACAAAACCTTTCTTCTGCATTTTATAGCTGAGAGGTTCACAAGTCATGTTTTACAAGCACAATGTCTTGAGTGTTTCAAGTTCAAACACAAGTCATGTCTCAAGTTGTTATGACGTAAGTCGGAGTCAAGGGTGATTCTATGTCAAGTCCCACATCTAAAGTATTTGTAGGGTGACTCTATGTTGAGTCCCACGTCTCATGCCTTTGAGATGCAAGTCCAAGTTACATCTCAGGTCTTTAAGGTTCCAGCCCAAGTCAAATCTTTGAGTTCCACTGATGCTCATTTTGACTGAATTCCAAACTTCCTACAGAGTCAGGTTTGTGCAGGTTAGTCACATGACACGTCGCACATGTCCTCACAATCAATAATCAGCCTCCCTTTCAAAAGGTTAACGTCCACGTATACAAACAGATTCTTACAGGACATTTACTCTAATCAGAGCTTATAGCTGTGTGGAGCTGGACTCTACGTTCTCATTTGGTCTGTAAGAGCTGTTCTTTAACATGCCCTTCTGAGGTTCTGAGTGTTTAGAGAAGAGCTTCGGTGCTGGGTCAGCGTGAGGTGAACGGATCATTCTCAGACAACAACGTTAGGAATATTTAGACCATGTGATGAACACACAGATGTTAACAGTCATAGAAATAACTTGATCTTTTAAAAAGCAGAGGAACTATGGAGCTACAGATGAGAAGAGAGAAAAGCCAAAAG